ATGTGGTCAATTTTAGAGTAAGTGTGATGTGGTGCTGAGAAGAATGTATGTTCTGTTGATTTGGGGTGGAGAGTTCTGTAGATGTCTATTAGGTCCACTCAGTCCAGATCTGAGTTTAAGTCCTGGATATCCTTGTTAATTTTCTGTCTTGTTGATCTAATATTGACAGTGGAGGGTTAAAGTCTCACACTATTATGTGAGAGTCTAAGTCTCTTTGTAGATCGTTAAGAACTTGCTTTATGCATCTGGGTGCTCCTGTTTTGAGTTATGTAAATATTTAGGATCATTAGCTCTTCTTGTTGCATTGATCCTTTTACCATTATGTAATGATCTTCTCTGTCTCTTTTGATCTTTGTTGGTTCAAAGTTTATTTTATTAGAGACTAGGACTGCAACCCCTGCTTTTTTTTTTTTTTTTTTTTTTTTTGCTCTCCATTTGCTTGGTAAGTCTTCCTCCATCCCTTTATTTTGATTCTATGTGTGTCTTTGCCTGTAAGATGTGTCTCTTGAATACAGCACACCAATGGCTCTTGACTTTTTATACAATTTGCCAGTCTGTGTCTTTTGATTGGGGCATTTAGCCCATTTACATTTAAGGTTAACATTGTTATGTGTGAATGTGATCCTGCCATTTTGATACTAGCTGGTTCTTTTGCCCATTAGTTGACACAGTTTCTTCATTGTGTCAATGGTCTTTACCATTTGCTATGTTTTTGCAATGGCTAGTACCAGTTATTCCTTTTCATGTTTAGTGCTTCCTTCAAGAGCTCTTGTAGGGTAAGTCAGGTGGTGATGAAATCTCTCAATAATTGCTTGTCCATAAAGAATTTTATTTCTCCTTCACTTACAAAGCTTAGTTTGGCTGAATATGAAATTCTGGGTTGAAAGTTCTTTTCTTTAAGGATGTTGAATATTGGTTCTCACGCTCTTCTGGCTTGTAGGGTTTCTGCTGAGAGATCTGCTGTGAGTCTGATAGGCTACCTGTGGGTAATGTGACCTTTCTCTCTGGCTGCCCTTAGCATTTTCTCCTTCATTTCAACCCTGGTGAATCTGACGATTATGTGCCTTGGGGTTGCTCTTCTTGAGGAATACCTTTGTGGTGTTCTCTGTATTTTTTGGACTTGAATACTGGTCTGTCTTGCTAGGTTGCGGAAGTTCTTCTGGATAATAACCTGAAGAGTGTTTTCCAGCTTGGATTCATTCTCCTCGTCACATTTAGGTAAACCGATCAAACACAGATTAGGTCTTTTCACATAATCCCATATTTCTTGGAGGCTCTGTTCATTTCTTTTCACTCTTTTTTTCTGATCTTGCCTTCTCATTTTATTTCATTGAGTTGGTCTTCAATCTCTGATATCCTTTCTTCTACCTGATTGATCTGGCTATTGAAACTTGTGTATGCTTCATGAAGTTCTTGTGCTGTGTTTTTCAGCTCCATCAAGTCGTTAATGTTCTTCTCTAAGCTGGTTATTCTAGTTAGCATTTTTGTCTAACCTTTTTTCAAGGTTTTTAGTTTCTTTGCATTGGGTTAGAACATGTTCCTTTAGCTCAGAGAAGTCTGTTATTTCCCACCTTTTGAAGCCTGCTTCTGTCAATTTGTCAAACTCATTCTCCATCCAGTTTTGTTCCCTTGCTGGTGAGGAGTTGTGATTCCTTGGAGGAGGGAAGATGTTCTGGTTTTTGGTGATTTCATCCTTTTGCGCTGATTTCTTCCCATCTTCATGAATTTATCTACCTTTGTTCCTTGAAGTTGGTGACTTTTGGATGGAGTCTCTGAGTGGATGTCCTTTCTGCTGATGTTGAAGCTAACCCTTTCTGTTTTTTAGTTTTCCTTCTAATAGTCAGGCCCCTCTGCTGCAGGAGTGCTGAAGGTCCACTACAGATCCTGCATGCCTGGGAATCATCCACGGAGGCTGCAGAACAATAAGAGTTGCTGCTTGTTCTTTCTTCTGGTATCTTTGTCCCAGAGGGTACCTGACAGATGTCAGCCAGAGCTCACCTTTGTGAAGTGCCTCTTTGGATATATGGGCATCAGGGAGCCGCTTGAGGAGGCAATCTGTCCCTTATCAGGGCTCAAGTGCTGTGCTGGAAGCTCTGTTGTTCTGTTTAGAGCTGGTGGGCAGGGATGTTTAAGTCTGCTGCAGCAGAACTTACAACCACCTCTCTTCCTAGGTGCTCTGTCCTGGGAAGGTGGGGCTTTATTTATAAGTCCCTGACATGCTGCTGCCTTTTTTCAGAGATGCCCTGTCCAGCAAGGAGGGATGCTAGTCACAGTCTGCCTGCAGATGCATTGCTGAGCTGCTTCAGGCTCTGCCCAGCTGCTGTGTAAACTTCCTTGCAGTTCTGTTTACACAGGTAAAGTTAGAACTGCCTTAGTAATGGCAGACTACCTCAGTAATGGTGGATTGCCTCAGTAATGGCAGACCGCCTCAGTAATGGCGGACTGCCTCCGTAATGGAAAACGCTCCTTCCCCCATGGAGCTTGACCGTTCAGGTCAAGCTCAATCAAGCTCAAACTGCTGCATTGGCTGCAAAACTGTCAAGCCAGCACATTTCAGATTGCTGGTGTCTGTGTGGATGGGACCTGCCGAGCCAGATCACCTGGCTCCCTGCTTTTAGCCCCTTCTTTTTCAGGTGAATGGGTGGCTCTTTCTCCCAGGTGTTCTGGGTGCCAGTTAAAACAGCTGCCCAGTTTTGTGCAGGTTTTTGTGCTAGAAACCTGTGGCACTGGCTGAAACAGCTGTGCTGGAAAGCTTCGACTGGCAGGCAGGAATCTCCTGGTCTGTGGGCTATAAAGACTGCGGGAGATGCCGAGTACCGAAGTGGCTGGAAAAGCCCCCAATGGCCTCCAGTGGGTGAGAGGGGGGTTCTTCAGTTCGCTGTACTTCCTGGGTGAGGCAGCACCCACCCTGCCTCAGCTTGCTGTCCTTGGGTTACACCCACTGTCCAACCAGTCCCATTGAGATGCACCTGGTACCTCAGTTGGGAATGTGGAGATCACTTGCCCTCTGTGTCACTCTCACTGCAAACTGCACTCTAGGGCTGTTCTTGTTTGGCCATTTTGGCCACTCCCCAGGTATATGAAGATTTCAAAAAGGCATTTTAGAAAATGTTTCTAACAATAACATCCATGTGAATAAGATTATGAATTGGAAAGAGCTGGATAACTGTGATAGTTAGGCACATAATTTCTTCAATATGCTCAAAGGTTGCTAATGAATTAATCCAGCTATTACAAAGAAATCCTAAGCAAAACTGGGAAGTGAAGCCCACAAGTAAAAAGACAGAACAAAGAAGAGAAAAGCAATCACTAGTAGACCAGAAAGAGTAACCACATTTCACCTTTGAAATTTAATAGGGAGAAACAGGAAGCATTGTAGTTAATTTTCCATAATCAAAAGAAAAAAATGCAAAGACTAGGTCAGATGTGATCTGTAAAGCAGGCCGGTAACAAAGAAAGACAATGGGAGTCAGATGGGAACATAATTTCTAAACAGGATTTTAATGTCTACAGTTAAGAGCTTACAAGCTTCAGCTCCTCTCAGAAGATTTGATCAGACATGCAGTACTGTGTGCTAGCTGGCTTATGCAGTATTGTGTATTATGTCACTTTTCAAAGTGTGCTCAGAAATATAAGCCAAGATTAACAAGAAATTCAAGACCATCTATGAAAAGAGTGGGGAAAACCAGAGATGCTTAGACCAATGAAGAGACAATCTGTACAGAGGATAAAATTATTTAAAAGGCAAATCACTGCAAAAATATCCACCCATTAGGGAGTGGAATAATTCAGTTACCATTTCTGGTTTTCCCATATTTAGCTTTTCACTCACTCACTGAACAAACATGTTCTGAGTACCTACTCTGTCCACAATCTTCTAGGTGCTAAGAGTACTGCCTGGATGTACTTCTGCCACCCCTGCTAGAGGCCTAATCATGTGAGACATGCTTAGTCTTACTCCATGCAGTTGAAGAAACCACCTTTCTTTGCAGTCACCAGTCTTGAGAGGTAAGAGTAACTGAACTCTTCCCCAAGGAAAAACTAAGGCCCCATTGCCAGGGAACTGTGTCCACAGGCCACAAGGGGCAGCTCTGCCCATGCGCAGGACGCCATCAGCAAAACTGATGAGCAATACATCAGGTTCCCACTTGGAACAAGAATGGCTACCACAACTTCCTCCCTATTATTTTGTAAGTTTAACCTCTGTCTCTGGACCCTTTTTATGCCCTTCTTCCTCTCTGAAGGCTACTTTCCTTCAACAATCAAATTTTTACTACATCTTTAAGATGCACTCCTAGTTTATTTCCTCAATTGAAGAAATCATTCCATTAGAACAATTGCAAAAGTATGAGTATGTTTAACGTAAGTTTAAAAAAGTGTAACTCTTTATCCTCAAAATGAGTATAAGTTGTATGTTATGTCTTTATAAAGACTTATCTTTATAATCATTAGAAAATGAAATTAGAAATATTTCTTAATACCCTCTAGATATTTTCATAAACTTTCCGCTAAACCCATTATCCTCATCATAAAGTGACCAGTGAATACTGCCATCACTTAAAGAGGTGGGAGTGGGGTAGGAAGAAGTGATATGAATTTTATATTCAATATGATTAAAGTTAGAGTGTCAAAGTATAATGGGAACAATTTTATCTCTGTGCTAAGGCTACAACTTTCTGAAATGTTAGCCTGTCAGAGAACAAAAAGCAGATGAGATTAAGCTGAATAAAAATTCTTCTGAAACACTTATCTTTTTAAAACTCCTTTTGTAAATTAAATGACAGGAAACCATACAATCCAAATTTCAGGAGCCATTCTTTTGATACAATTTAATAAAGCTGAGAAAAAATTCACCCTGCAGATATATGTGTATCCCTTTTAAACAGTGTTTCAATACAGAATGATTTAAAGCCCATAATATTTAAAGTCTTTGATATTCACGTATTCATGAATAAATCTTGATTTCATCTATACTTAGGAAACCAAAATTGTTCACTTACATTTTTGTGATTAACACATTTCATAAGAACTAGCTCTCTGTAGGCCCGCTTGGCATGAGTTTGATTCTGAAATGGTCGGCTTAGCTTCTTGATTGCAACATTTCTTTCAAGAATGGCATCATAAGCTGCACTGTAATAAGAAATTCAAAAACAAAAAATCTTAAAGCAAAAATCTGTAAACTGAATTCATGAATCAGTCATATAGATTTCTCACTTTCTCCAAAGTTAAATGTAACTGGATCACTTCCCATTCTATGATGCTCAACGTGTGTCTTCTATATCTATTACAGTATATTTGTTTTTGCAACTATTTCCAAAGATGATAATGGTTTCAAAGAGACAATGGACTATGACAACAGAGACCCTTGCTTGTTTGTTGTGTTGCCTCAAAGAACCACCCACTCAATGTACAAATGCATAATAATTATTTAGCTCCAGTAGGTAGCTTAAAGGCTAAATGAATCCTTCACCTTGCACTTCCATCAAGGAAAGGTAGGATACAGAATGCAGCAGGGCATGGTAGCTCACGTTTATCATCCCAGCACTTTGAGAGGCCAAGATGGATGGATCACGGGGTGAGGAGTTTGAGACTATCCTGGCCAATGGTGAAACCCTGTTTCTACTAAAATACAAAAAATTAGCCAGGTGTGGTGGAACACACCTGTAGTCCCAGCTAGTCAGGAGGCTGAGGCAGGGAATCGCTTGAATCCGGGAGGTGGAGGTTTTAGTGAGCCGAGATCATGTCACTGTACTCCAGCCTGGTGACAGAGCAAGACTCTGTCTCAAAAAAAAAAAAAAAAAAAAAAAAAAAAAAAGCTTACGAATTCTACTCAGAAGATTTGCTAAATAATCTATTTAAACACATTACTTTCTATCCTTTGGATACAATAAAATAAATACAGAAGAGGAAGTCATATACAGACATATGTATACAAAAGATAATTTTATAATTTTTTTAAAAAGTAGTAAAGCCCTTAAAAATGTGTTTTGGAGGGGAAACTAAAAATCAAGTTGTTTATAAATATGAATGCTAGATTTCAGGGCATCAGAAGCTGCTAATTTATAACTGGAAAACACAGTATCATACCCATTACTCTTCATATCTTCCTCCATCCTATGATACTGACCACACAGCATTTTTCTCATATGACATGTCAGAGACGCTGAAGCATAAATAAGGTAAAGTATCTCTAAATTACAGAATTTTATGATGGAAAGAACCTGAAAATTATTTGGATTCTATTACTTAATAGAGGGCCAGTGGTAAACTAATTTGCCCAAGGTTAGTCAGAAAGTTAAAAGCAACGTTGAGACCAGAAGACCTAAGACAGGAAGTCATGTTTCTCAAACTGGACCACGTAACATACTATAATAGACTAGTTCTGTTTATGTGTATGTAATTTGGAAAGCCAGCTCACTGGTGATTAATAATTTTCTTATCTGACTGAAAACTTGGATTTGTTTAGACATGAAGTCATGCTTCTCAAACTGGACCACATAACATACTATAAAAGACTAGTTCTGTTTATGTGTATGTAATATTTGGAAAGCCAGCTCACTGCTAACAGTTTTCTTATCTGACTGAAAACTTGAATTTGTTTTATAGCTATCTCATTGTATCAAATGTCATGTAGCACTATATGTATTAAGAAACTGGTACTGCATAAATGCACACATCTATTCATTCTCCATATATAACTACTGCCTATATACATATATATACATAGATACCAAAATATACATAAATATTATAATCCTTACTTGTAAAATGCCGTATATACAAATACATCCTACTCAAATAAATAAAACAAAATAACTCAATGGGGTCATACAAAATTATTAGATGTTTTGACTATCTTCAAATAAAGCAGGTTTTATTTTTAACAATTACATTCATGACTATTTTTAATCTGGCAAATCAAAAACATATTTCAAATTCTAAAAGTTCAAAGGGTTCTGAGTGGATTCCACTATCCTGTATACAAAAAAATTAAACTTCTAATCATTGATTACTCAATTCCACAAATTAGAAGCACGTGAGGATACAAAGGCCACAATCTAGACTCAATTAATCTTACTATTTATGGTTAGGGCACAAAACAATGCTTAAAAAAAAAAAGGTCTGTATTCAGTTGACTCAGTAATACACAAATGAGTTTAAAATTTTTATGTTTAATATTTGTCTATTTCATAAAAATCTCTTATAGAAATTATTATTTGCAGCAAAAATATGAAAATATTCCTTAGGCTAACGGCTTAAGAGGACCTAACAATCAATTTTTTCTTTTTTTTATTCTGGTACACAAACTTCAAAGTGCACTTACCTGAGGATGAGTAAACATATAAAAACATTAATATATTTTTAAATATTATTATTTAATAAAAATATATAATCCTCACAATTCTGTAAAGTAGGTGATACGCTTAACAGTATGAATTTACCAAAAGTAATAAAGCTAGTATACTACAAATCTAAAACCTGAACAAAGGGCTGGCTTTCAGACTCCTAATACTGACTATATAGTATTATTTTCTTTAAATTTAATTTATGGTTGGTTAAATGTGGTTGGTTACAGAGAAAACTAGCCAGTCAAAATGGCTTACAAAATGACTCCAACTTCTGTAATTTCTGATATTCTAAATCACTTCAAGAACGCAGAAAAGATAAATGTCAGTCTATTATGCAAATTTATTAAATCTTAGTACGTTACCATAACTGCTCTGATTTTTTTTTTTTGAGACAAGAGTCTTGCTCTGTTGCCCAGACTGGAGTGCAGTGGCATGATCTCAGCTCACCACAATCTTCGCCTCCAAGGAGCAAGCCATTCTCCTGCCTCAGCCTCCTGAGTAGCTGGGATTACAGGCACATGCCACTTCACCCGGCTAATTTTTGTATTTTGAGTAGAAATGGGGTTTCATCATGTTGGCCAGGCTGGTCTTGAATTCCTGGCTTTGTGATCCACCCACCTCGGCCTCCCAAAGTGCTGTGATTACAGGCGTGAGCCACTGCTCCTGGCTTGCTCTGAATGTTTTAAAAGGAAGTATAATATTATAGGTCGGCCAGTCGCGGTGGCTCAAGCCTGTAATCCCAGCATTTTGGGAGGCCGAGGCGAGTGGATCATGAGGTCAAGAGATCGAGACCATCTTGGTCAACATGGTGAGACCCCGTCTCTACTAAAAATACAAAAAATTAGCTGGGCGTGGTGGCACGTGCCTGTAATCCCAGCTACTTGGGAGGCTGAGGCAGGAGAATTGCCTGAACCCAAGAGGTGGAGGTTGCGGTGAGCCAAGATTGCGCCATTGCACTCTAGCCTGGGTCACAAGAGTGAAACTCCGTCTCAAAAAAAAAAAAAAAATATATATATATATATATATATATATATATTATAGGTCAAGCCTTCTTCCTTTTCTCCATTTTCTCAGAGATAAACAATATCCTAAGTTTGGTGTTTATGCATGTTTTAATCTTTTCTACATATATGTATATCCATACATCTATGGTATTGTTTTGCATATTTTAAGCTACATGTAAATGGTACAATAATGTATGGAGGTATATATATTTATTCTGCATCTTGCTTTAAAGCCCAGCACTACATTTCTGAGATTATCCTTGTTGGCACATATGGCTCCAGTTCATTTTAAATGTTATGTAGTATTTCATAGCATGACTGTATCACAATTTGTTATTCTTCTGTTGATAGATTTGATGATATTTCTAATTTTAGCTATTATAGATGGTGCCACAAACACCAGTCCTCTGCATGACTCTTTGTGCACATGTAGAACGGTTTTTCTAGAACTTAGGAGAAGTGCTAGATTATAAACACTTAACGATTTACATTTTGTTTAGAATAGACTCTGCAATAAATTTATCTCAATGAAGAGGTAATGAAATTATTCTTGAGTGAAGTTTGTAATTCCCCCAAACACCAGTTTATTATTGTGCTAATTTAGCGATCTGGAATCAGTATCAGAACTACCCCAAGGAGTGATCTGAATTTCAGTTTATAAAGAATTATGCTGATATAGCCTGAGCCCCTTTGTAGAAATTAGCTAGTCTATCAATTTTAAACATATGGATGAATTTTAAAACACATACAGTGAGATATTAGCTGACTTCACTCCCCAATGTAGAATAAGATTTCCAAAATTCCAGACTTCATTATACTGTGGAAGTGATTAAGTGAAGCTTCTTATGAAACAATAACCTATGGGAATACATGTATACATGCAATTAAGAAGCCTATCACTTATTCTTCCTTGAGAGAAATATTTGTCTCCAATGGCTTATGACCAAGTATTTAATCACAGTTTAAAATGTGATTGGCAATGCTAGTTTATAGTTATATCTTCCAAATAACACAGATTATCCCAAATCTGAAAATATGAAATCTAAAATACTCGAAAATCCAAATTTTGGGGGTACTGACATGACGCTCAAAGGAAATGTTCACTGAAGCATTTCTGATTTGAATTTGAGATGCTCAATCAATGCAAATATTCCAAAATCTGAAATCCAAAACACATCTGGTCCCAAGCATTTCAGGTAAGGGACAGTCAACCTTTAATAATAGTAATAAAGAAAAGACCATTGATCTCTGAAGCAAACAATTTACCACAGACTAGTTTTCATTTAATTTTTAGTTTTAATTTAATTTTTTGAGGTAAATTATAGATGGTGCCACAAACACCAGTCCTCTGCATGACTCTTTGTGCACATGTAGAACGGTTTTTCTTTTTTTTTATTTGCCAAGGTACCTAAATTATGAGGAGAAAGGTAGCAGTTAATGATTCTTTGCCTAATTTTTGGAAGGAAAAACTTACCATACTATTCCTTGAGCTCCTGAGCCTATAGGTTTTAAATTCTGATATCGTTTCAGGACTGTAAATGTAGAATCTCCAATCTCTACACTATAAAAATTGTTGTCACGCTTGCTTCTGCTCATGATGGCAAGTAATTAATTTAATGGCTTCATCCAAAAATTCACCAAGAAGCTGCAAGATGGAACAAAATGTGATGTTAACAAAATGAAGTTGTTTTAATCTTAAAACTTGAGTTCTTACTCTGTTTACTTACTGATAGAAACACAGACTGCCAGATCATGAAAAGAGCTGCTTCATTACAAAACATAAGAAAAAAAATACCACAGAGCCTTGATTAGCATATGCCATATGAATGAGAGATAGTTTTTTCTTTTTTAAAAACAACTATTTATTAGGATAAATCCCTCCTCCAATATAGAAGTTACCAGTATTAATACATTAATAACTTACTACAAGATTAACAAAAGAAAGCAAATAATTAAAATCAAACATGTTTTTAACATCATTCCACAGTTCAAAATAAACTTAAAACCAGTCTTTCTCATGTGTTTTTCATAGGGAATTAAAACCTTAATTCTGTAAGAAATTTATATACTCTCATTCAAAAACGGTTAACAGTCTCATTTAGTGCCAAGTGAGAGGAACAACAAATGGAAATAAATTGACTAGCACGTGTCACCCTTGCCTCAAAAACAAAAGGCATCATAGTGCCTTCACCATGACAGATCCTCTGATCTGCCAAGGCAACATCATGGTGTAACACACATACTGAGACCATAATGGGTGAAAGGACCAGAAGCAAAATAGAAAGAAGACAGAGAGAATTACTTAGCATATAGGGATACAAAACAAAACAATACTATTCTAACCTGCTTCAGGCATCAAAAGTACAATCCAACTTCTAGCATTCTTTCACTATTTACAGGATTAAAAATCAAGAGTCTTTTTCTACCCATGCGAATACTGGTTATTAACAAACTCATTATCCATCCTTACTAGACAAAAGAGACTATTCCAAAATGTATGCAAGCCAGCTTTAACCTATTCCTCACCTCCACAATAAATCATGAGACCAACTGAGTCTAAAGAATTATTTTTGTGTGTGTGGTTTTAAGATAATGCTTACCCCAAGAAATCCTGATAATGACTTACAATACAAAAAAATCAACAAATATTAATTGCCTACTAGGCATTCTGCATGTCCTGGGGCCAGATCACAAACTAGGTAAGAATGTGAGCCAGTGAGTGGAGTGTGGAGAGCATGAGAATGCCTTGACCTGATCCTTGGCTGCTACAGACATGGAGATTGTACTGCAGGAGAAAGGGGGAGCAAGAGTGGAATAGGACATTTGAGACTCTTACAATGACTCAGATGAAAGAGAGTAACAATGAAGAGTTTCAGGCCTAATGGAGTTTAAAATAAACAAAAACTAAACAGGAAACTGCAAACAATGTAAGCTGTAAAACCAAGGACAAATAAACTAGAAACAAATGAGGAATTAGACTTGGATACATTTTAAAAGGTCCAGATTTGAAACACTTCCAAAATCACTAGCTTTAGTAGTCATGTAATTCTCCAGAGAAGACTGTCTGAAATGACAAGCCTCCTAACTTCTTCCTAAGTAGATAGACTGTAATAAAGAAAGGAGCTTTGGTAATGATTTAAACACTGAACTATGTTCATAGAATGCTCACATACAGGTATCGTTCATGCTAATCATTTTCCTACCATAACCTGAATTCCCTCCTACTTATTCCAGTAGTGAAATAAGGAAGAAGAGAACTGGTAGGAGTGGAAGGGAAAGTGTTGGTTGTCAGGCCGTTTATTATGAATTACTCTACACATGTATCCTGGAAACTGGGTCTGCCAGGACATGAAGACAGTAATAATGATCTCTGATAATCTACAAGCAGATTGAGCAGAGGCTGAGCGCAGAGGCTGAGCACAAGGTTGATGGTGTTTTCACCTTCTGGAAGGTTAAACAGTCTTCCACCTAAGCATTCAAACTACCTGCAGATTATGATTCCTAACCTTACTTGGAGGAGTAGTATTTCTCTCTCTAAAAGATTAAGATATTCAGGAGAGAAAGAGGTAACTCTGATGTGCTTCACAAGACTTGACCATACTGTTACCAAAGCAGATAACAAAAAACCTGTTTCAGAGTTTCTCTACTTGCTGGAAAAAAAAGAAAAAGCTGAGTAGATCCAGTAACATACATGCATTAAGGCAGGTTTCCTTTTCTGCTAAAAGAATAACACCAAGGAAAAGCACCTTTCTGTTCTCAGAACAGGGTGGCCAAGCCACAGGAGGGGGATTCATAGTGACAAGAAGTGGGAACAAAGGCTATGGCAGGCAGCTGAGCATGGATAGTCACAACTCCCCAGGAGCAGGGCAGAGGCAGGCAGACAGGCTCCAAGGTTAAGCAGGTAGTCCCAGCTAGTGGTACCCTTCGCAGAAGCCACAGCTGCCACTTCCAAGAACAGAAGACAGAGAACTCACTACTGACTTATACTCAAGTCATGCGATTTTCACTGGAATATCTGATTTAAGCACCATGCTATGTAGTATGAACAAGATGGTAAGCAGCATCTGGCTCCTCACAGAGTTGCAGTAAGACAAAAAAACAGATCTTAAGCGGACAGCTTATCTGCCTGACTGTAACCACAGCAGTGGTAAGGGCAATGCAGGAAAGGGGCAGTATGTCAGAGAAGTATATGCCAGTCTGGGCTCAGGAGCAGATACTTCTGACAACATGATGATTAAACAAGATCTGAACACTGATTATGAGTTAATTAGGCAGGGAGAGGAGAGAGCTTTCTAGGCAGAAAACAAAGCACATGCAAGGGATCTAAAAACTGTACCAACTTTAACTCTATAATTTGATGAGTTGTGACAGACATACATAATTACGTAACCACCTTCAGGAAAATCATGATACAAAACATTTCCATTACCTCAATATGTTCCCTGTATGGTCAATCTCCACTCTCTACAAATACCCCCACCCAACTCTTAGCAAACACTGAATTAGTTATCGTGACTTTTCTAGATCTTCATATATATGAAATTATACAGCATGTAATTTTTGTTTGGCTTCTTTCATTTTCTGTATGATTTTGAGATTCATACATGCTGGAGTCCTTTTACTAGGGAATAAATTTCATTGTGTGGATGTACCACTTGGACATTTCAATTGTTTACGGTTTTGGGATTATTATAAATGATGCTAGTATGAATTTCACACTTTTTTCCTTCATTCATCTTGGGTTTATTATCTAGGAGTGGAATTGCTGAGGCCTATGTTTAACTTTATAAGAAATTTTCAAACTGTCTTCCAAAGTGGCCATATCATTTTCCATTTGCACCAGCAATATGTGAGCATTCTACTTGCTCCACATTCTTCTGATTGCCATTTAATTTTATCTATCCTAGTGGGTATACAGTGGTATTTCATGGTGGTTTACATTTGCATTTCCTGATAACTAATGAGGTTGAGCATCTTTTCATGGGCTTATATGCCATTTATGTAATTATTTTTGGTGAGACAGCTATTCAGTCATTTTCCCTAGTATAAAAATATGACTGTCTTATGAGTTTTAAGACATATTTATACATTCTAGATATACATTCTTTATCAGATTTTTTTAAAGTATTTTTTCCCCAGTCTGTGGCTTGCATTTTCATTTTCTTAACAGTGTCTTTTTATTTTGAAATAATTTTAGGCTCACATGGAAGTTATAAAAATATTACAGAATTTCTGGGTACCTTTCACCCAGCAATAACATTTGAAAACCATAGTACAATTATCAAAATGAGGAAACCAACATTGGTGTAATACTATTAACCAAACTAGAAACTTTACTTAGATTTTACCAGTTTTTACATGCCCTGACTATGTGTGTATAGTTCTAGAAAAGTTTATCACATACACATATTAGTAAAATCTCCCACTATAATCAGAATACTGAACTATTCCAGCCTGGTGCGGAGGCTCACTCCTGTAATCCCAGCACTGTGGGAGGCCGAGGTGGACAGATCACTTGAAGTAAGGAGTTCAAGACCAGCCTGGCCAACATGGTGAAGCCCCATCTCTACTAAAAATACAAAAATTAGCTGGGTGTGGTAGTGCATGCCTGTAGTCCCAGCTACCTGGGAGGCTGAGGCATGAGAATCGCTTGAACCCTGGAGGCGAAGGTTGTAGCGAGCCAAGATCCATACACTGCACTCCAGCCTGGGTGACAGTATGAGATTCCATCTCAAAAAACAAACAAAAACCTGAACTATTTCCATCACCTCGAAGAAGCAGCTTCATGCCATAATCCCTTTATAATCACATACTCCTCCCAACTCTACCTGTGGCAACTACTGATCTGGTCTTTGTCAGTATAATTATTTCATTTAAAAAATGTTTTATGTTGGTAGTAGTGGCTCGTATCTGTAATCCTAACACTTTTGAAGGCCAAGGCAGAAGGACTGCTTGAGCCCAGGAGTTTGAGACCAGCCTAGGCAACACAGTAATACCCCATCTCTATAAAAAAAGTAAAAAAAAAAAAAAAAAATTACCCAGGGTAGTAGTGCACACCTGTGGTCCTAGCTACTTGGGATACTGAGGCAGGAGGATCACTTCAGCCCAGGAGTCAGAGGCTGCAGTGAGCTATGATAGCACCACTGCACACTATCCTGGGCAACACAGTGAGATGGTCTAAAAAATCAAAAACAAAACAAACAAAAGTTATACAAATAAAATCACCCTATGTAATCTTTTTAATCTTTTGAAACTGACTTTTTTCACTCAGTATAATGACTTTTTTCACTCAGTATAACACCCTTGAGATTCTCCAAGGTGTTGGTATATCAATAGCTTACTCTTTTTCTTTTTTTTTTTTTTGAGACGGAGTTTCGCTCTTGTTACCCAGGCTGGAGTGCAATGGTGCGATCTCGGCTCACCATAACCTCCGCCTCCTGGGTTCAGGCAATTCTTCTGCCTCAGCCTCCCGAGTAGCTGGGATTACAGGCTTGAGCCACTGCGCCCGGCCAGCTTGCTCTTTTTCTTACTGAATATTATTCATTATATGAATGTATGACAATTTGTTATCCATTCACCTCTTTTTTCTATGACAAAGCTGTTATAAGGCTTTGTGTATACATTTTTGTGTGAATATAAGTTTTC